CACCCAAACCGTAAGTGCAGGATTTGACGCGCATGTAAAAAAATGTGCGGCTGGCTTGACCGTGTATTTTCCACGCGCGGCCCACTTGACCGCAGTAACACACCGTGTGTATAACTTCGGCCATTCTCAGTGACTGGGACACTAGCTCTGCTCGTCATCATAGAAACAGATAATCAGATTGTGATGTTTATTCTGAATGCTGCCTTCCTTTCACAGCCGAGCGCGGACCTGCAACTGTCTCGCAAGTGTTGATAGGCGTGAGGTGTAACCAATCAGATAGCGCCGTGGGCGGGACATTGAACAAGTCTGCAGACTCGTGCAGAGCAGAGCCTTGTAGAGCAGCCAAAGTAGCGCAAAAAAATAAAAATAAAAAATAAAAATTTTTAAAAATAAAATTGATTTTTAATCAAACCACGGATCCGTGATAAGTTTTCTGATCCGTCTCACCACTAGTTTAGTAGCACTGATCACTTTGAGGGGGAGATAAATTAATCCTCACCGGGGATAAAAATAATTAGGAAAGAGGCAGGGACACACTGACCAGAAAGGGGGAAATCCCACGCATCCCCTCCGGCAAATCGCACCCTTATGATTTTTTTTTTATGCTGATATGCGTCACATAGGCGCTTTCTAACAAGTGGCTAAATGGGACTACAGAAGCTATGCTTATGCTTATAATTGTGCTATTATGAACTTTGCTACCTCAAACATTCTTGGAAAATGCTTTTAGTGAGTTGTCGGAAGCTAATGATTGTTGAAGTCGAGCGACTGCGGTGTAGTTCGTTTAAAGCCTACCTTTAGCTTTTTACTTCTGGCGACTGCATTATGCTTCAAAATTCATAAGTTGTGTTCATCTGTGAAAATTATATTGATGACATAACGTATAAGTGTCATACAATTTTGTTTATCACAGAACTTGTTTTTTGCAATAATCCAAAAGCATAAATGCTAAAGCATACTTTTTAACAAGGGTGGACACGAACTCAAACAAATTATATTTTATTACAAATTAGTATACTTTTTTCCAAAATTCTTCATATCAAGGACTGTTCCCCATAAAGCACATCCTAAAGTTAGACAGTTACATTCATGAAGCACACACACACACAATCAATCTTTAAAACAAGAAACTATGGATAAGTTTTCATAAATTACAATAAGTGGAAATGGTTCTTGGAACATCACATCATACCCAGTAGTCCACATCAATCCCAACTTATCGTCATAAAAAAATAACCATTTATTAGTATGCCAACACATTTGTGCCTCAGACATACTTTAATTCAATAGTGTTCCCTAACCACATGTATGAGGTACAAAACCGGTTTAGCAGCTTTTCTGAAGCTATATTGTGTTAGTAACTGAATTAAGCAGACAAATCCTGAGCAACATGACTTTAAACCAGACTGCGATGCCAAAATGTACACTTATGCTTTGGTCAAATACACCTCAGTTTAGCCTAGAGGCTCAAGTAACTACATTAATGCTAGCACTCCCTTTCTTAGCATGTCAATGCTAAAACATAGAACTCTGTAAGTAAACATTTAAAAAAAATACAAGTAATGTCTATTATATACCACTGCAACCCATTTTCCCAACTTAGTTAATTAGATAAGACTAAAGTTGTTTTACTGCCTGAAAACCACAGTTCTGGTAGCGCTAGCAGAAAACTGCTAGCCGCTTATGTAACATGTTCTCACCATAGCATCAAAATACATCAAGAGATTGTCCATCGTGGCTCATTGTCAACGGTTCTTTCATTATTTGTGAATTTGACAGTCATCAAATGAAATATGCTAACAAAAAAATGAAAATGAAAATCACACAAATAAATAAAAATGGTTAGTTATACACATTTATACAAACAAATGTTGCCCTCTTGATACTTTCACCTCCTTTGTTGTCTTGGTTGGTTTACCGCAATGACTGCAGCGTTACATGTGGTTACTGCTTGCTTTGGATGTTTACACACATTTAGGGAAATGACTGGTGTCTCTTCCACATACACACTCCCCTTACTGTATGATTTCAATACTGAAAGGATCTTCCACGTCTGTCCTTCAGAGTTTCGGTTTATTTGGAGGGTGTTGAAAGGGAAAGCTTCTGTACACCCAGAGGTCTGCCGAAGTGTGTTGCTAAGAGTGTAACATGGGAATGCAAAGCCCGGAGCCGTTAGTAGATGAGCCGCTCTCTCTCTGAACCCACCACCCTGTTGCGAGCAGCCATTGCTTTTGCTTTATTTACAGATGGGCCTGTGAAAAGAAAGAAACTTTTCAGAATTTCTTTCATCAAAACAAATAAATTTTCATGTTAAGCTTTGTGTGAATAAAGGAGTTAACATGATTATCATTCGGTTCAGAAGGCTTCAGAAATCGAAGGGCCTATAAAATGTTTTATTTATATTTATTTTATTAAAATTCATTTTTCTAACATTTTATTTGCTCTGGATTCTGCTATTATATATATATATATATATACACAATTTTTCTCCATTCAGTTTAAATTGTTATATTTTTGTACTCAGTTTGTGTTTACATAATATATGTGGGTGCACTGTGTATAATTATTTTGTGTGTGTGTATATATATATATATATATATATATATATATATATATATATATATATATATATATGTATACACACATATATACAAATGCATACATGCATGTGTGTGTGTGTGTGTATATATATATATATATATATATATAAATAAATAAATAAACATACACACACATGTACATTTAAGAAAAAATATATTTAAATTAATTCTTCTACTAACATTTTATTTGTGCTGGATTCTGCTATTTTTTAGAATAAATAATAATAATAATAAAAAATATATATATATATATATATATATATATATATATGCGTGTATACATGTATATATATTACATGTATAATTTTTTTTCCATTCAGTTTTAAATGTTGCATTTTTGTACTCAAAAATCATATTTCATTACTTAAAATCATGGAACTTCTACAATTTAACAAATTATTAAATTACAGTTTTAAAATCCCTTTCCCACCTAAAGTTGTTAAACACACTTGATTTAAAATGTAATACTTATAATTAGGGCTGTCAAACGATTAATCACATCCAAAATAAAAGTACACAATAAAATATATAAATATACAATAATATATATATATATATATATATATATATATATATATACACATACACACTATACACACAATAGAATATAGCACCAAGAAATGTTTTATTCCAGAAATGAAATAGTTTGTTTTAATTTTTCTGCATTTATAATTTAATACCAATGTATTCTCAAAAATGATAGAAATCAAATCAATGCATGAAACATTATAACACACTTTAAAAGACTAATCAAATTGCCAAGAATTGTAAAATTTTCAATTGATTTAACAAACAAAGTGCTGCACAACAGAGGTTTACTGTTACAATTAAAAGATGGAAGTTGTGTTAAACTTTAAGATCATAATTATTAATATTATTCCTACTACTTGAACTATATTCCTCTGTAAAATAGTAACAATATTAATAGTCACAATTTCTTCAAGTTAAACCAAACTTTTATTTTGACGGGTTGTCTTCGAGTTTCTGTTAGTTTAAATATTGGGTGAACGACTCCTTTTACGGCAAATTATGAATGTTAAAACGTTGTGATTTACCTGCATAACTGAGTAACACCGGCAGGAAGATGAGGCCGTGAGTGGCTCCTAGCAGGACTATTGCAAGAAACATGCGGAAGTAGAAAATCTGGAAGATCTGGGACTTGGACAGGGCGAGAATCAAGATCCCGCCAAATTTAGTGAGGGTGATGCCGCTAAAGACCTGCGGATCCAGATCAGCATGTCAGAATGTGCACTCATTATGTAGTTTGGGTACGTTTGTGTAGCAGTAGGACACATGACTCACAGAGCTGCCCATGTGTGCCAGCGCCTCCTCCGCCCGCTCCACCCTCGAGCTCCTCGTACTGACAGAGAAAGCCCTCACTATATGACTGCAGAACTCCACGGATATGCCACAACTCTGCAAAAAAACAACAGCAGCCCAGACATTTCTCCATAATTACGTGTGCAGAGATTTGATGGCACTGAAAAATCAAAACAAGCATTCAAAAATAAAGTGCTTCAACTATTGGGTTACACTTTATTTTAAGGTGTCAGTACTTAACATTGTAACTGAATAATATTAACTAAACACATGCACTTGCTATAGGGTTAGGGTAAAATTTGGTTGAGGGTTAGTTGCCTGTGATTATGCATAATTTACTGTTAATACTATGTTATTACTATGGCAAGTACATGTAACAAGGACACAGTAAAATAAAGTGTTACCAAATACTGTATCAAAACTTCAACAGACGCACAAAACACTCTTTTATTCACTCACCATGACAAGGTTGACCAATGAGACGGCGTTGAGGCTGATGCTCCACAGCCACATGACTCCGAACATGTTGACCAGGATCATGGCAATGGTTAAGGACACCAGCACTGCCGACCACAGCTCGAAGCCCAAGAGCACCGTAGACACCACAAAGATGGCCAACAGCGACACACCAAGGTTAAAGGCAGTGTCGTGGACGATAGTGAGGTACTGTTCGTAGAAGACGTAGAATATACTGTCCATGCGGGAAAAAAGAAACATACAAATGAGTCTTTTTCTTTGGTTCAGTGAAGTTTTAAGTACTCTCATCAATGTTTTTTTAGCACTATTTTTAACTGCGTGTCTTTACTAAATCCTGACGGTAGTTTGAAGTTTTATACAGTTTACAGGCGTAAACGGTTAGTAAATCTGGCTCTAAATGTGTTAGACAACTGACAATCCTAGTATTTATTACATAACAATAATAACTAGAAATGGTAAGGCCTTCAGAATTTTAGGTTTATGATACATTTGTACAATTTCACCACACTTTAGGGAAGTGGGTCACTAAGGATGATCTTTGCATTCCTGAACGTTCCATGTGACTTTGACTCAGCTGCTCTTTTTAAGCATTTGTTTAATAGTTAAAGTTTATAGATCCTCATTTCAGACTAGCACGGATCTCTTTACAAGTTTGTCTGAGGGGCTCAACAGTAAGAATAGTTTATCCTGATGACACACCAGCACAAATGCAACGCATCTTGGGTAAACTTAAACGACAGAGCAAGCCATCATCTCGTTCTCAAGGTGCGTTTACCTGTAAGGGAAGACGCGGTAACTCTTGTCATGCGGTGTGATGGTCTGCGTGATGTTGTCCGTAAGCTCTCGCACCATCTTCATGGCGTCGATGTAGTCAGCTGATGTTTTTAAGATGGTGTGATAGCTCATGAAGTATGTGGCGCCTACGTCAGTGCCGTTCTCTTTCAGCGCCACAGCAGTGCTGTACGCAGCATGACCGCTGCGCAGGAAAGAAAAGTGTCATTTTAAATAATTGTCTTGAAGAAAAACCCTGTTGTGAGTAGTAACTGCAAGTATTTCACAAAAAAAGAACGAAAGTAAAAACATTACAGTTTTTTATGACGGTTTGTGAAAAAGCGAATGCTGCAGGTGCAGAAGTCTCAGTTGACCAAAACATCTGAATGTTTAAAAATAGGTCCTGGATATTACACAGAAGTATGAAGTGGAATATACAGTTGTGTATGTGAGAATCCAGTTTACTGCAACTAAACATTTAAATCATTTGCTAATTGTGCAAAAAATTACTCTGCTTACTGGTAAAACCCAATGCACCCTAAACCCTGAAAATCGCATACAATCAGCTTGTGATTTCAGCAAAAACTTTCAATTGGTGTGTACAATATACATCAGATGGTCATATGGGGGACATGTACTGGGATGGCAAATCTGATCAATAGAAACATGCAAACTTACCCTTTTCCACACTTGATATTTGGGTTGTCCGAGAGAAACATGGGGAGGAAGTGCATGAATTCGGTGCCATTAGGCCTCTGTTTCCCACTAGTTGTCATAGGTCTGCAGTGAACGCAGCTCTTATCCACCACTGATGGAAAATACAGAAATATATCAAGATACAGAGAAAAAGCTCAGTTACACTTTATTTCGATAGTCACTTTAGACATTCTACTATACTACAAGTAACTTTTCAACTACACGTCAACAAACGTCGTAGGCTGATTAGTAGGCTGTGGTAGACTGTCAGTAGACTGTTAGGTTAGGAGAACAAGTTGACTTGTAGTTGCTAAATTACTTAGTCAGTTGAATGTCTGTTGGGGGACCAACAAAATAAAGTGTTAGCAGATATTAAGCAGACAGTCTCCTGATACTCTAATGATAGTTAGTTGACATGTAGCGGCAAAGTTACTTATAGTTAGTTGAATGTCTAAAGTGGACTATCAAAATAAAGTGTTACCAAAAGCTCAAATAAAAACTCTGTCACCACCTTTTGTGTTCCACAGAAGTCATACAGGTTTGGAACTACATGAAGGCGAATAAGGCGGAGTTTCACACTTGGAAGGTTTGGTGTGATTGCTCTTTTAGGGCAGTTCATTTGACTTGAAATGAACTGAAGTGAAGTGCGAATGCTGCCAACGCTGCCTCTGAACAGATGGGTCTCGGTCCAGTTCCAAATGAACTGTTGCAGTTCGAATGAAATATGAATGCAACACGGATTAAAGCCATGTAAACAAACCAAAAAAGGACGTGATGTCAACATGCGACCCTAAAAAGGACAGAACGCTCAAGTAAACTTGTGTTTTTTTCTCATAACAGAAGCAAAGTTGTCCTTTACAGTTCAGTACAGGCATCAGAATCACATCTCTTCGCAGCAGATCTTCCTTTGTGTGTTTGACGGAGGGATTCCTGCTGCCGTTTAAGCTCTTCAAGGGTTCCCAGCTGGTCAAAATATCATCATACGTACATACAACGAACGAGTTAAAGCCAATACAGCATTGTTTTATATGTTCCATCGCAAAATATACATCATAAAAGCCATTTTTCCATTTTTTATCGTCATGTTCGGAGTTACGCTAAACGAGCCAGGACTTCAATGTGTATTTTTTTTTTTGATCCAGACCAAAAGAACTGAACTAAAAGCGTCAACACATTCATTCACTCACTTTCTGCAGTGAACTATTCATTTTAAAAATTAATAAATAAATAAAATTTGATAACTCAAAATGCTTTGATTGTGATATGCACATACATTATGACAAACAATTCCCATTGGAATCTGTTTGCAAAGAGTGAGTTCAAAGACCCAAGAACAGTGTGATCTGTGTAGTGGAAACTGATGTCAAATGCACAAAGGTCCTCTGGTCAAGGCTCTGTTGATTCGCTGGATAATGGTTTACCTGAAGCATTGCAGAAAGCTCCTGTTGCGTTGTAATATCTGCAGCAGGACGACTGCGGCTTCACCCAGTCAAAGTAGTCATCCAGCCAGGACGATGGGACGTTGCTTATCTTAGTACTGAAATTGCGACACAGGATATTACTATATCGATCTGATAGAGGTTATTCATAAACTGAAAGCACTTCCTGGGAATTTCCTACACTTAAAAGGACTAATAACCCTACAAGAAATAAATGATTTGCTTTGTTTTGCTATAGTTAACTCTGAAATCACAAAAAAAAATATTTTGTTACGTGAAATTAAAATGTTAACTGAAACGTATAAATAAAAAAGGGTAAAACATTTCATTTCCGCTTTTTGCCAAGGCATTTAGTTTAAATTGATGTTCTAAAATAAACCAAAAATAAATAAAATCATAAACTACATTGGCATATATAAAACAACAAAAATGATAAAATTAAGTTAAAATTAAAATTGAATATACTAAAATACAAACCAATTCCTAATATGAATACAATGATACTAAAACACTGGTGTATTGAAACTTTCCCTCACTTAAAAGGAGTCACTCACTAGTTCTTCAAGAGAGAAGCGGCATAAATTTGCTGGACTAGGGAGTCGTTGTTGCAGCCGACTCCGCCACACACCGCGTTCTGGCCCTCCGATGTTTTGTAGTCATGTCCATCCTCTACCACAAAGTAAACGGGCGGCCCGGTGTGCAGGTACTCACTCAGATTCCTAAAGTAATCCAACATATAGGAGTCCTGCAACAGGGAGACCAGGACGATTTGTATTCACAATGACCCCTTTCAGGTTCTTCAGAATGCAAATGTGTGTTAAAGGTCTGTCAACAATGTAAAGAATAGTATATATACGTACATCAGGCATGGACAAAGTCTGCTCAAGTCCAATCTCCACTTTATTAACAACGGCTATACTAAATGACAGCATTCCCACAAACACAGCAACCTGTAGATGAGAAACAAAAGACACTATTTATACATCATTGCCATGTTTAGCTAAACTGGTAGACCAATGTCCTAGGTTCAATTCCCATAAAATGCATACCGTGAGCCAAAAGTATGATAATACATTATATTAATGAGGTTTTACACCTACCACCAGGGGGCGCACCCAATCCTTTAAGATGAAAGGAGCGTATATCTTCTTAAAGAAACGGAACAGACAACCTTCCGATTTCTCTTGCGGTCCATCAGACAACTTTACACAGCACAATATATCTGTCCGATTTGCCTGGGGGAAAAACAAAAACAAGTCGGATATCTTAAATAATTAGCAGACAATTCATACTCCGAAAAATTTTTGCGTAAAAATACAATGACATAAAAAGCTAACCATGCTACTTTCAAAAAAAAGTTTATTTGACAAATGCAATATGTTGTTGTGAATTAGAATTTTTATTGTCAAATCCACTCCATTATTTTACATTATGTTTCTAGTCACCAAGGATGATAACTATAACAACAGTTCTATAAGCTATTTAGTCATTATTAAGATATCATTTAAAAAAATTGCACTAAATATAAACGAACCGCAGAGTTCACACCACAACTATAACGATAACAGACCAAAAAAAGGATATCATTGAAACGATACCAGCTCATGAGTGGTAAAAACACTGACAGCCAATCAGAATCGATCCTGCTTTAAGAGCTCCAGCATTTAAAGACGCAGGCGACGAAACTGCAGTGCGCGAGTAGAATAAACGGAACAATACTTTCTGCTGGTGCGGACGCTAATATAGTTATCTATATTGTTATCTTCATAGTCATCGTTCTTAAGGTGAACAGGCCTTAGAGAAATAGTTCACACATAAATTCACATTTACTAATTATTTAAAAATCACCCCATAGGCATCCAAGATGTATATGACGCGTGAAATACACTACCGGTCAAAAGTTTTAGATCAGTAAGATTTTTTTATGTTTTTAAAAGAAGTCTCTTCTGCTCACCAAGGCTGCAATTATTTGATAAAAAACAAAAAAAAACAAAAAAAAACAAAAAAAACCCCCCCCAAAAAAAACAAAACAGTAATATTGTGAAATATTATTACAATTTAAAACAGCGGTTTTCTATGTGAATATATAGTGAAGTGTAATTTATTCCTGTGATCAAAGCTGAATTTACAGCAGTGTCACATGATCCTACAGAAATTATTATAATATGATGCTCAAGAAACATTTATGATTATTATCCATGTTGAAAACAGTTTTTACATTTTTATTTCAGGATTCTTTAATGAATAGAAAGTTCAAAAAAACAGAATTGATCTGAAATGGAAAGCTTTTGTAACATTAATCACTACCATTCAAAAGTTTGGGGTCAGTAAGAATTTATTTTTTATTTTTTGGGGGAAAGAAATTAGAAAATACTTTTATTCATCAAGAATGAGTTAAATTGATCAAAAGTTACAGTAAAGACATTTTTAATGTTAGAAAAGATTATATTTTAAATAAATGCTGTTATTTTGAACTTTCTATTCATCATGTGGTACATGGCTGTTTTCAACATTGAAAATAATAATTGGTGTTTGAGCATAAAATCAGCATATTAGAATGATTTCTGAAGGATCATGTGACACTGAAAACTGTTGAGTAATCAGCAACAGTAATGATGTTGAAAATTCAGCTTTTACAAATTACATTTTAAAATATATTAAAATAGAAAAGTCATTTTAAATTGTCATAATATTTCACAATATTACTGTTTGTCATTTTTTTTCATCAAATAAAGCAGCCTTGGTGAGCAGAAGAGACTTCATTTAAAAACATAAAAAATCTTACATGATCTAAAACTTTTGACCGGTAGTGTATAAACATTGGGAAAGCCACGTGTAATATGTAGGCAGCAAGAATTGTTTAAAAGTGTGGATAAAAAGCTCTGGTTGTTTCTGTATATTAGTATATGTTTCAGTGCATAAAAAAATAAATACAATTGGTCCTTTCGTGTCTGTATCCGGCATGCAAGCTCCTCTTATAAACAAATGGGGTGGTTCTTGCCGCCGATGTTACGTGTGACATTTCCAACGTCACTTGAGAGGTCCGTCTATTCCTTAAATTCTCCCACAGTTAGAACTGGTGTGAACTTTGACCTCTCACCTCTTGTCTCTGGATGTCCAGGCCCAGCAGAGACACAAAGCAGCTGATCTGCAGGAGGAAGTCAATGAAGACGGCCAGACCAGCGAACAGAGAGAACGTCCTCACCGCAGGCATGGTGGACAGAGCACCTGTGGACATGTAAACACACAAACTATAGGCATCTGGAAAGGGAAGTGAGAATCAAACTGGAACTATATCAGACTGGCTCCCTCAGTTTCTCTTTTTAAAAAGTTTCTCTTTTTCTCTTGCTTTTAATTCTCCCTGATTGTTAATTGATTATTTTTATTGTCCTGTGCATTAAACTTTCTGCTTTGTACAGCACTTTGGTCAGCCCTGGCTGTTTTTAAATGTGCTCTATTGTATTGTATTGTATCATACGATCCAACAATCATTTGTAAGCAGTAAAAGATTTAACTACAGGTTGACATGCCTAAAAAGAAAGCGACGGTCTCGGAGAAGGAAGAGAGGAACATGCTGGGAGCCACATCTCCGAGGATCCGGCCAATCTGATGATGAAGCTCTTCCTCCGGCATTCGCTCATCTCTCTGAAGAAAACAAAAGTCTATTATGAAGGCAAACAATCTCAACCATCAACAAGCTTACGAACGATGAAGTGGAACCAAACTTTTAGGAACTAAAAAATGTTTGCCCGGGTTATTTTAGAGCAATCAGTCAACCGACATCAACAAAACAACCACAGCACTTCTCAGAACGAGTCACGCTTGAGCCAACATCTGCTCTCAGGACATTTAGAGGTCCACGCACCTGGTAGGTTTGCACAATGATGAAGATGTTGTCCACACCCACGGCCAGCACGAGGAAGGGAATGACCTCAATGACGATGAGCGTGAGGGGGATGCCGATGTAGCTGAAGATACCCAGAGAACACGTCACTGAACTCAACACGATCAGGATACCAGCGATGCCCAGAGAGATCTTGGAGTCCACCTGTACCACACATAAAAAAAAAAGCACCATTTCAAATAAAACGATGAGAACGTGCAAGCACTCACATGAGCGAAAGAACAGCCAAAGAAAAGAAAACCATAAATGCATGGCAGGGTTTTCAAAATTTAAATAGTCAACATTAAACCCAGGATAAATTGCTTCATGTTTTACATTGCTCATGTAACAATTAATCCTGGTTATTTATAAACGGACTCTTCACACTGTAGATTCCTAAACCCTGGGTTAATATTCTTATTTTGTGGTGTCGGTGTCATTGAATGGATCACTTGACTGGTTTATGAAACCCCAGGTTAAAAGCTGTGCTAACCCCACTTCTAAAATACAAAGTGTGAAACATTTCTCTACCCGGGGTTAAAAGCAAAGTTAAGAACAACGATAACCTGGGATTAAAGGATTAGTTCATTTCAGAATTGATTTCCTGATGATTTTGATGATGAAGGTAGTAATGTCTGTCTTCAGTCAAAAAGTAATTATGGTTTTTGAGATAAACATTCCAGGATTTTTCACCATATAGTGGACAATAGGAACTTACAGGTTAGAGGTCCAAATAAGGTGCGGCCCCTTTAAGAGCTGTGCGCTCCTTGTTGAACTGTCGGCGGTATTGTATTGTATGTGCCGTGTGCCTCAAACACCCCTTTTACGGTCTATGCGAACACCCCATGTATTCGGGTAATTCCTGTTTGATGCTAATTTTTAGCTTATTTTGTTTGAGTAACGAGTACACGAGTTCGATTTGGGAATAAAGTGCGAGTTGTGAGATGCCAATCACCTCCGTCTAGCCTCTGTATGCAGAGGTCTGTATCGGGTCGCTTTCGGGTTGAGCTTTCTGCGACTGTGCAACTGGGTTATAGGTTGCCAGGTTGAGGTGACAAACGGGTTGAAATTGTAAATGGTCTGTGGATTGTGTGAATATAATGCATTTAATCAAATCAGGCAACTGGTTAACATTAGACAAACATATTGGTTCGATTATTCATAAAGGAGTTTGGGCCATGGAAATTACGGGAGTTTTCCGGGAGATATAACAAACCGGGAGGGGTCTGGGAGAAAGGGCTAAACGGGAGAAACCCGGGAAAAACGGGAGTGTTGATGTGAAGTCGTGGACGTGCAAGACGAGCATTTGTGGGTGTTTTTTTTTTTTTTTAGAAAATGGCCGATCGTTTCGCTAGATAAGACCTTTGTTCCACAGCTGGAATCTTGTAGAGCTCTTTGAAGCTGCACTGAAACTGCAATTTGGACCCTGGTTGTTTTACACATTGAAAAATCCTGGAATGTTTTCCGCAAAAAAAAAAAAAACTTTTCTTTCTCGACTGAAGAAAGAAACACACGAACATCTTGGGTGAGTAAATCATCAGGAAATGTTTAATCAGAAGTGCAATCTGAAAAACCCTACTATGTTGCAAAGTATTAGCTAAGGGGAATTTATTCATTTGTTTATTAAAGTGTCACTGAAGATGAAGTTATGGTATATTCAATTGTCTGAAGAAATACAAAGTTTTAAAGCCCCTGATTTACTTAAAAAAAATTGGCGTGAGATCACTTCGGGGAAAAAAAAAAAATTAATTTAGAATTCGTTTAGGCAGTAGAAACAGCTTGCTAATGTGAACTTCGCAAAACATGGACACTCAAGAGCTGCTTTTTTTGGAGAAATTGAAGTTGTATTTCTAATTTAAAGCGACACTGACAGTTTATCCAAGTTTAATACTGTTAAGCTGCTCACGTTCAAGCAGAAGTCTGTTGTACAAAGTGCTATACAAATCCAAATAACATGACCTGACTGAAGGGTTGAGCTGCAGAGCTGGTGCACACATCCACGCCAATGATAAGATTGTTTTTTCACTTCATTGTGCGTTTATTTTGTTATTGTATATTCATCTAAAGCTGTTCTCGGCAGTGTGGGAGTTGTTGGGATGTTCGCTAACAGTTCATCTCTGCAAAGTTGTTTCAAATTCTTTTTACCTTGAAGAACGAAAAGAAGTTTGAGAATATCAGGGCTTTCACGCCTAATGGAGAGTCGTGAGGATCTTACCAGCAAGGATCGGCAGCTATTGATGTGTCCCAGAGCCAGCGAGATGTAGACAAACATGATGACGTAGCTGATCACGATGGTGGTGACATCACTGTTGCTCTCGCGGTCGATCTCATCCTCGATGCTGCGCTCCGAGCTGAACGAGATGGTCAGGTTGGGGTTGCTATAGTTCTTCACAAAGTCGATAAACCTGTGGAGGTATGAATAAAGTTACTCCTAAACGCTTGTTATATATTTTGTAATAGTAGTTGTTTTTTAATCACTAAATCTATTCATCCATAACATATAGTAGCTTAACACACTTACACTTTCTCCCACGCCAAAGCTTTGCCTAATTTTTCAGTGTCGTTCAGGTAGTTGTTGACAGGAAATGTGATCACTAGAGCTGTGGCATTGTTGTAGGCATTGTCTATATATGAAAAAGGACAAAACAGAAAACAACATTATATACTGTAGACGCACATACAGGATATCCAGGTATTGTGGCATCACTCTGCTGTACACACACTGCAAAAATTTAATTAGTGACAACCACATTAAAACGTGGGACTGAATCTGAAATTGCAATGTTTGATATAGTGATAACCACAGCAAGGGATGGGACAAACAAATCTGCCATGTCAAAATAGATCTGTGCATTATGTCTTAAAGAGTATGTGCAATAGACCTGGTTTTCTTTTTTCGTTTTTCTTTCTTTGTTTTTCCATTTTATTAACTTGATTTAATCTTTTAATGCAATTTTTACTTAAATATAACAATATTTGAAGGCTACATGCTTGATTTAATGCGTTAGTATTGTAATTTTCAAACAGTAAAATAAAAACAATAGTTACAACAGCTATTGCTATAGTACCGAAAACCGGTATTGAAATTTTACCAGTACTGCTATGGAGTACCGACTAGTAAATATAATTATATTATATACACTTCAGATCAAAAGTTTGGCGTCAATAAAAAAAAAAAAAAAAAAAAAGAAATTAGTACTTTTTTGCAAGGATATATTTAATTGATTAAAAGTGACAGTAAAGTCAACTGATTTCATTAATAATAATAAAAACAATAATAAGAAATGTTACTTGAGCATCAAACCAGCATATTCAAATGGTTTTCTGAAGGATCATGTGACACTGAAGACTGGAATAATGATACTGAAAATTTAGCTTTGACCACAGGAATAAACATTTTACATTTATTACATTTTAAAATATATTCACATAGAAAAGAGTTATTTTAAACTATAATACTGCAGTTCATAATTTTACCATTTCACTATATTCTGATCAAATAATTAGCCTGGGAAAACCCAGAGAACTTCTGGCAAATTTAGATTTGCTCTGAAAGTTAGTCTGGCAAAGAGCTCATTCAAGCCCATTTCCAATCCGTCGAAATCGCGGCACCAATCAGAAACGTTGGGGCGGGCTTTACACGATGACGACAGCGCTGGGAATTTGAAGCAGATTTTGTGGCCAACATTACAAAGATGGACGCCGCCATCAGAGGGACTTTAAGATCACAGACATGTCTGTTCTTTTGTCTTTATGTTCAGTCCTGTCAAACTCACCCTCATATCCACCAAGAACAAGCCAGGGGAAAACTGGGCCTCCATATGTACCCATGCAGGGGTCATGAAGGAGGCTTGTGTCATCCAGGGCCGTGGGAGAACTAGGACCAAAAGCAAAAGATAAGAGAGACTGAGTAAAACTCTCCAAAGGCTAAATCCCAGAAACAATTTAGCATCCTCGTGTATATAATGGCAAACTATTCCAACTCAAACTTTCAGGGATAACGTTAATGACTGAACGAGCTGTCTGACACGTAATGTTGAAGTTGTGTTACCGTAGTGTAATCCGATTAAAGCCTACGCTTAGCTTTTTTACTTCTGCCGATTGCACTTTGTTAAAGTGCAAAATTCATTAAAGTTGTTCATTTGTGAAGATTATCATAATGAACAAAACATTAAGAATCATAAACTTTTGTTGGTCAAAGAGCTTATTTTCTGCGATAATCCGAAAGCTTATTGTTTTCGTCAAGGGAAACGGGGCGATGCTATTCAGAGTTGACTTACAAAAATACATCACTATCAAACAAACCAGAAAAGCTCACCTGACACAATACAGAAAATGAGTTTGGTAGTTGAAGTAGATCTCGAACTCGTCCTTATTCACATGATCCAGGACTTCATGGCTGTTCTGGTAGTAGTTTAACACACTCAGGATGGTACAGTTGTCATTGTAAGGAGCCAGTGGAGAAACACAGATGTCTTGAAGAGTCACTGTCTCTCCTTTATACTCAGCTGTTAGATTTGTTATTTCTGTCTGGAGATCCAACACCTACATGGAAACAGAGAGAATGATAGAGCGAAAACACTGAAGGCTAATCGCTCAAATTTCATACATGTAACTTAAAGGTGTCATGTGTAAGAATTGAGGTTAAAAAAAATCCAAAAAATGAGCTAAATGCATCAAAAGAATGAGAAGAAATAAGGTTGATGATGTCATTAAAAAAAAATGTCAAGTTATAGTGCTGCCGAGATATTAACCTGAATTAGCATGCTAAATTACTAGCCCCAGCCTGGCAGGTGTCGTAATACCAGTTTCGGCCATGGGAGGCGGTATGCGGGCGGGCAACATAACCAACAGCCAAACTGCAATACACGAGTAACTCGCAGGGCTTGTGTGTACTTGAACCTGATGTCAGTCGTGTGGAAAGTACAGCCCACTACTACATTTCAGTTCAGGGAAGAGTTCAATAAATGATTGGTCGATATTATGCATGAGGAATACATTTTGGTAAGTTGTAACATACTGTATCTTTCAACAGTGTTCATGTTCTTTTACCATTAGCTAGTAGAGATGATCGGTTCACGTGCGTTAGGGATCAGTCGTGTAAAGCGCCAATACTGTATTTATTGTTTGAATTGCGTAATAAAATTGACAGAATCTGAGAGCTGAGATTTTTTTATATATCATAACTAACCTGCTATGTCTAATCTGTCGGTCTCCGTGTCCTTTTCTCATGGTGAATTCGTGAGAGTTGGCAGCTCTGAATGGCACTAGCTTGGTCAACATCAGCGAATGCTGTCTGTCAAATTAATTCAAACTGGCAATAAAAATGTAATATAAACAAAACGAATACCGTAAAACTTCAAATAATAGCCCAGACTTTTATTTTCCCATATCGTTGAACTGCACTGGCTTGTATTTTATATAGGCGTCTATGAGACGCCCTTTATAATTTAGTGTTGAGATGTTGTTCATTGTAGTGCTGTAGCGGCGCGTCGATGACGTCGATGATTCGACGTCAAAATTGCGTCGACGTCATATTTTTGCGTCGACACTTATTTATTTATTTATTTTTTGCATGTTCCCGGCGGTACAGCTTGCCACACACACGTGGGAGACCGAAACATTTCAGAATAGAGGACGAAGACAACTTGAAGTGAATGTGCTATCCATTAAATGAATCACACACAGTAAACAAACCCTTAAGAAAAAAAATTTGCAATTTAGATGTGCAAACTGGGTGCCGGTGTGGTAAGACGTACAAGCTCGGGCAGATTCGGCTTGAAGTCGTTTCCGGACGCGGCGCCGGGCGCGCTGTTAAAAAAAAAAGGCGTACACACAGCCAGCCACAGTCTTCCTGGTCTTGCGCACCCAACGCGTCATTTTTGCCGTGCGCACATTCGCGCTCGTGCGGACATGTCGAGTATAAACAAGGCTTTACTCCGTGTCTCCGCGCTCTGATCAGTAGGTGCACAAACCTCTCCCGATTCATCTCCAACAGTAGCAGCCTCCGATCGCACCACTAACTCCGCCTCCGTTTCCCTCCTCAGCTGATATTAATATTTAAACATTCTCTATGATAAAAAATGTTTGTAAAATATATTTTAATAACACGGTTTGGGCGGTTGTAGAGTTATAATGATGGTGTAAGACTAACATTAACATTAGACTAACGTTAGCCAGCTTATAGTATCTTGATTCAGTAAGCTAGTATTTATTTGAGATATTGTTTTTTTTTTTTTATTGAGCAGCAGAAAAAATATTCTTTGTATTAGTCGTCCAATTAGTCATTAGATTAGTCGACTAATCGATAAAATAATCGCCCAACTAATTGTTTAGTTAATAATCGTTTACCCCAGCCCTAGTTCATTAAGTCTCTAATCTCTAAAAATCTCCAAATGCTCCACGTGAAACTGCGGTCTTCCAACCTTTTACTATCGTGTCAATTGATTTGATTAATATGCGCGAGGAAGAGAGAGCAAAACAGCGCTCGTTTGTGTTGTTTGAAGACGTGAGAGTGTGCGCAGACGCAGCACAACTCACTTTCTGGAGGTATACTGCCCCCATCTGGTATGGAATATGGAGTATGATTTGATTTTTTTTTGACCGATGGCACCTTTAAATTCTAAAAACAGACAGTAAAACCTACTGTTTTTAAAAGCATTTGGTCACTTGAGCAAAACCCTTGAATGTCACTGTGACAGGCTCCTACATTAGATTTTAACATATCAAATCTAATCAAGTGGGCTTTCAAGTTATACTTGATTGGTCAGTTATTTAAACTTTTCCTAACAGATTCACCATCATCAGAGCTGCACGATTCTGGATAAATTGAGAATCACAATTTTTTGTTTAAAATAGAGATGACTGAATAGACGACTAAACAAAATAACAAGTAATTTAGTAGAGCTTCTGACAAAATTAATTGCTGCGCTCAATTTATCAACTACTTTTCATTTTAAAAAATCAGTTTGATTGAACAATTCAATGACTCTCTCATTACGTTTTCACTTGTTTCATTACTTGATTAATCAGCTGCAGCGTTTTTCTAAGAACTTCTTGAATGAAATATTCAACGACAAATACATTTTTAAACAGTCGCTTGTCGCCACCTACTGATGCAACGATGTAATTCATACAATCTTTATTTGAAGCGTCAAAGGGTGATTTTCTCTATTCTGATCGCTTTCGTAGACATCCGTGTTTATATCTGAACTATACATTTTTCCCCCAGTACTTCTGTGATCATTTAAATGATTGTAAAACAGAAATGATGATACTTCATACCCAAACATGACAACTGCTCTCTCTGGCTCAGCCGCAATGCAGACGCAAATCTGAATGTTCGCACTTGATGACACATTTGATGAATCGTCATTGAGGAATAAGATCGCGTGAGTGTTTGAATCGAGAACGCAATCTTTTACCGATTAATCACGCAGCTATATTACACAGTACTACTTGTTGACTTGCCTGATGGAGGAGTGATATGTCCAGCATGGGGGAGAAGTGGATGGGTGCTCCAGACTGGGGGATAAAGTACCCCGAATTATTCCACGAGGTGGTGATGATGAGCTGCTCAGTGCGGAAAAAAGGTCCAAAGTGCTGGTCGAAATAGTCCTTCTCCTGCCTGGCCCTGCTGCTGGGAGACGACCAGAGCTCCACCGGGTTGGTGGTGATGCGCATGTAGGACAGTCCCGCTGAGCAGATGGACACCAGCACCATGCTGGCCAGGATCACAGTCAAGGGCTGGCGGACACACAGCGAGCCCCAGCTGCTGAAGACAACACGCAGCATGTTCTCGAATCGCTCGCCCAACGTCTCGCAGCAAGTAGCTTCATCTAAGAAATAAGGACCACATTCAGTGAGGAAACGTGATCATTTTGGCGGATGTTAAAGGTGATGTGTGAATTTAGTTCACACAAAATTCATATGCGATAAGCGGGCTGACAAAACAGAAAACAAAGCCGACCAATGGCTTAAGTGTATGGGTTCATGTACCTCTCTCATTCATCACGAATACAAATGTTTCCACGGTTGCGATCTAACATTTAATTGCCAACCTATTAATTATTTTGTAAACAAAGCTTTGTTTACAAGTGTCGTAATATTCACGTAACACAGCATTCAAATACAAAATATATATATATATATATATATATAACGTAAAACGTATTAAAATAACTTTAAATTAGGGATGGGGCCGATCCGATCCAGTATCGGTATCGGGACCGATACCAGCGTAATTCACGTATCGGATTTTTCCGATCCAACCTGCGGAGAAATCCGATATTTATGATCCATGTCTGCGCTTTAACGTTGGCTGCTGAAATGACTCCAAAAGGGATTCCCCGGGGCTGCTAGTCTGCTAGCTGGCTGCAAACTGTGGAATGGATATCCTGAACGGAGGTGCAGCTCAATCATAGACTGTAAAAAATAGGGCTCAATGAGACACACAGACGCCCGCTCAAGAAATCCATTCCGCAGTTTGCAGCCAGCTAGCAGGATAACATTGAGCTACCAATATGTTCGCTGTGTGGAAATCCTATGGTGGAAATACTTCACACTGGAAACACCGCAGCAGAGCAAGACAGCAAAATGCAATGTTTGCAAAGCCGTATAAATTAAACTATTTGTCTGTGATGCATGTTTGCAATTCGCAGTCCAGAAGAGAAAGAGAGAGATCTCTCACGCGGTGCCACAGCACGCACAACACGACAGCCCTGCTTAATGAGTGACGACAGAGGAAACATAGCCTGGTTACACTTTAGATCTGTGATATTAGTCTGATTTCCAAAGATTAAAGAATATATTGAGGTAAAAAAAAACATTAAACAATAGCCGCATTCTGTGTAGCCAACTTCCTTCCCATCGCGGCGGTGCACTAGTCATTTCTCCCTAAAACTCAAACTTTAAGACAGAATCAGCACGATCGGTAATTGTTGTAAAATGCCGTCTCTGCTGTTGCTAAATAGCGTGACGCTTTTAATAATAAAAAGAGCTATTAAAAGCACAAAATTTGCGCAAGAGGGCGGCGCGCGCTCCGAAACACAAGCAAATTATACTTTGGGCTTCATATGCGCGTCTAAACGATCAAAAGTAGCCTGCACAAAAATGTCAAAACGACCGGCTTGGAGATTATCACTTAACTACGTTCATTTTAGACATAAACGGTTTATGGAAATAGTTGGGAGAAAATATGGTGCATCAGTAGACTATGAAATCCGCACTAGTTCTTAAAGGGGCAGCAGTATAAATGTGACGATTGCGACATTACTGAGAATAAAACAACCAAAGGCAAAGAGAAAATCACTCACAGCTCTTGAATGAATAACTTCAGCTTTAATAAGCATAAATCTATCTAAGATAAACTTTGCAGTGCTATTTTACTTTTGATTACTTTATTATAATTCTTTTTAGACGATATACCTGAATAATGTTAGTAGACCTTCCTGAAATTAAAGCACTGTGTAGGCCTGTATAATGCGTATATCTTTGTTTAATTGTCTATCTATTGTTTAATATATCTATTATATATATATATATATATATATATATATATATATATATATATATATATTGACATAGGCTACATACGTACGTATCATCCTTGCTTGTAGAGAGGTGTTTATTTCAGCATCATATAAAATCAACAATAATGATAAATAATGTTAAAGCAAACACAGGTCTGGTATCGGAAAAGTATCGGTATCGGCCGATATCCAAAGTCAGGTATCGGGATCGGATCGGAAGTGAAAAAATGTGGATCGGTGCATCCCTACTTTAAATAATTATAATTTACATACCTACAAAATCTGTGCCATCAGAGTTCACAGAGTAGGCCTGGTTGCTGTCAAGAATAGGCCCATATTCAGATGTGACCATCCTCCGTCTGTATTTAGATGAACAAAAAATAAATACAATATGAATCAATAAATAAATAAACCAATAAACTAAAAAATACACGCAACAAAACAAACCTGGACTGAATGATGGGTATCCAGTTACTTTTTATGGAAAGTCACACATCTCATTACTTTCATGCATTTCGTTACCGATAACATCACGGTTTTCTCTAGAGTGAATGAATTAAATGTAAAAAACTATTTTACAACAAAAATGAACCTTCTCTGAACTTGACTATGACGCCCTTTTCTTCTAGAAACAATCTTTGTTGCATTATTTTATTGTTATCTCTGTAAAGCTGCATTGAAACAATCTGTATTGTAAAAAGTTCTATACAAATAAAAGTGACTCCACTTGACTTTACAGTTACCTTTTTTCACTTGGATGTAGGATTGCTTGTTTTGTAGTAATAATAATGTGCCGTCAAACGATTAAAATATTTAATCGCGATTAATCGCATTAATGTCGTAGTTAACTCGCGATTAATCGCACATTTTTATCTATTCTAAATGTCTCTTGATTTCTTTTTGTCCCATTATTTTTTCTCATTTTAATGCACTTATCAACATGGAAAAGGCTTGCAAGGATCGGCTTGCTTTGTGCAAATGTTTTCTTATTGAAAACAACGTTGGCATATACGGTGTTTCAATTTTCACTTGGATCAAATAATCTCTCACACAATGTAACACTGTCCATCAATAAAAGGGTGAAAGAAATACTGACGAGGTCCTGATATTGACGAGGGGGTGGAGAATTCTCTACACTGTGTGTGTGTGTGTGTTTGGCCATCATCAAGCGGTATTTCAGACTGGATGTGCAGCGATGATGATAGCTTCGTTCACAACGACAAAACACACAGATCACTTTGGTCTTGTCAATGGAACCATTTGGCAACTTTTTAAAAGTAAACTTTCCATTCAGAATCTTATTGGCATCCATTTCACTCGTAATCCACTCAAAACGTAACGTTAACCAACTATTTGGCCGGCTCGCAAGCCCAAGCAAGTGTGTGCGGCGTGCCTGTTTTGTTTACGGTCTAGCTAGATCCGCTTGCGCTTTGGTCGACAAAATGTACAGAAGGTCCTCGCGCAAAGCAAGCCACTGAAATAAACGGGTTTTATAGCGCAGCGCGCGTATGCTGCATCCTGTTGCAAAAGCATGTGAAAAAAACTACAAAGTTTGCTAGGCCAAAAAGACTGTTAATGTCCTGCGCGCATGTCCTGAATGAGTGCGCAACTCTTTGATCACAGAAACAGATTGCAATCGTCTCAAACAGTGGAGTAGTGAGAATGTATCAGACAGACAATGCAGAGGTATATGGCTGAAGTACTGGAGGTTAATGGACTCGGAGTCCGATCACTCTTTATTTGATAATTCTGAATCTGATCGGGACGAAGTAGTCAGTAAGAGAGATGCACATGTTGTCACAGAAAGTTCTAGCCATGGACGTGCCGCAGATAGATCGTATAGGCTACTTGTATTATGACACTATAATATGTATGTGTGTGTGCAGGCATTTATGTGTGGCTGTCTAAATATGAAGGTGTAATTGTCAAATTATTTCTCTCTTTGTGCACATTTACCACATTGTAATGTGTGTGTGTGTGTGTGTGTGTGTGTGTGTGTAGGCCTGTTTATTGTAATTCCAATTATTCATTATTCACAGGTAGAACACAGAGAGGCAGAGGCAGAAGTTTTATTGCAAAAGTTACATTTCCCTTACATCCTGGGAAATTTGATATATTTTACATTTATTTTATGTTTTTAATTTATTTTGGAAAGTTTTATATATGAAGGAAACAACATCTGAATGTATTCTGCTTTTAAATGCACTTGTTTGATAAAAATACCTTTTTCTCAGTTTTTTGTCCAAAATGTTGTTTTTGACAAAACCTACCTCTGTTCAAGAGGCAATAAAAAAAGAACAGATGAAGATAAAATAAAAACGTTTTTTTTTGCCTAAAAGCAGAGGCTCAGATCTTTATTTTTATATATATCATCTTCATATATTCATGGAAGAAAATATTCAGCGGGGCATTCAAATTTAGCGAAAATCGTCAAAAACCCTGGCGGTGGCTGGCAACTTTTTTTTAAAACGCTGGCGGGGAAAGAGTTAATAACACTTTAACTGACAGCCCTAATAATTAAAAATGTTTTGGCAAATGTTCAGGTCCTTTCACACCAAAAGTTACGCAAGTAAGTAATAGAGGCAGGCATTTTTTCAGGAATCCCGTGGGTCACAGGAATACCACAGGATGTGAAACAAAATCACTATGTATCACGGGATTGGGACGGGACAGAAAAAAAAAAAAAAAAGTCAGCGGGAGGGACTGGGAATCGTAATAAAACTATGATACCCAACTTTATATACAAATATACAGTTTCTATAAATGCATGTTAAACCAAATTATATTTGCCACATCTCTTTATGCTCTCCTGTAGCAGTTGGTGGCTGTAATATAGCTATATATATTTTGGCCGTGAGACACCCACATTTGATTGGTTTAACACGCTCACCCCCAATTTCTCACGCTGAAGTGTCAACCTGGCCAGTCAAATGCCTGGAAGATGAGTTTTTCTATACACAGGGTTCCTACACAATTTCCATTTCAAAATTCCATACTTTTCCAGACTCAAATTTCCAGACCTCATACAGATTTTTCCGACCATATTTAAAGGGGAACTATGCAGGTTTTGTAGCTGAACTGAACAGCTTTGGAGTTATTGGAATGGTTATATGATTTCTTTCTGGTCGAATGGTGGTCGTCTCACAACGGCGCTAAATGGTGACGCACTTACCCACAATGCTATCAGCACCGACAAGTATGTTACACTCTGAGTCAAAATGTGTATGCTACTTTTTCCATACTTTTCCAGACCTGGAAATTACTCAAATCAAATTCCATACTTTTCCAAACTGCGTAGGAACCCTGTATACATCTACCTAGATATCTACCTGTTGAGCCACTCGTGATAGAGTAGTTATGCCGCAAATTAGTTAAATTCTCCCGGATTCTTGAGCGAGCGTACACGCGAGACAGAGATTGTGCTTCAAACCACCTAGCGCGCGCCGCACACGCACACAAGGCAGAGAGAGAAAGCGAGAGAGAGACCTTGCGAGTACACGCGTCACCTAAGCCACCCGGTTTTAGTTATTTTTTTGTAACTGACAGATTCCGGTAAAAAGAAAATCTTCTGGGATTGGGACGGGAGAGTATTTTTTTTTGTGGGAGTGGGACGGGAAATGTTTGAAAATCCAATCCGATTATGTAACTCACATTACTTATAATGCGCTACTGACACTGTTACTGACTAATAATTACTAAGAATGGGAATTAGCGGAGACCTGGCAATATATCAAATTGATACTTCTAGGTCATGATTATATTGTGATTTTATTTTTTTTTATGTTCAGTTTGCAGCATACAAAACTGTGATATGTTGTGACTTTACTCACTGGTTTCCCTTTCGCCATCGTCAGACTTTTTTTGCAATTGAGTTTTGGTTGAAACAAAATCACTGGGTGTGTCGTTTTGTGGTTTACCATGCAAATATGCAAAGTCAGATTGTTTTAAGGAATTGTCCCTCACAAATCTGTGACTTGCCTGTAACACCACGCTCCCAGCACGACACCAAAGAAGATGAAGAGGAAGGCTATATAAGAGCACCACATGATGAGGGTCATGGCGTCCAGACCGAGGATGGTCCAGGGAGGAAGGACCGGAGGAGGCACGGGTGTGGGACCACACGCTTTACTGCAGTCCTGACAGGAGCAGGGCCCTGAGCCGTCATCCAGAGACTGCGTACAGTTAAACGTCCCGTTGTTCATGGGAGTCATGCTCATGGTGGGTACATCTGGGGACACCAAACATTTTCAACACCAAAATCAATCTCGAGAATATAAGCTTCATGGACGCGAAACAGATATGGAGTCATAGGTGTTTGAAAGCAATAAAATTAGTGGATTACTTCAAGTTACAATGCCGAAGCTTATAAAGAGGTTTTATGAAGTCTTGTTATTTTAAAAGTGCTTATGTGTGCTTGTACCTGAGAAAACCGGCTCAATAGCAAAGGGGACCTGGCCGTTTTTGATGTCAAACATGTACTTGATCCATTTCTGGGGAGTGCACTCGCTGGCGTCTGTCCCGCACAGCAGACTGAGGGCTTTAATGTTGCTGGAGGGAGCCTGGACGTCACTGCAGGCGTCATACATGGCTGTAGAGAGATGTCAAATAAATGGTTACCCACAAGATTTTATACAACAGTTAGTTACAATTCTCTACTTTGATTGGCCGAGTAATTTAATACAACAGTACTGGGACATTTGTATCACTCACTTCACTATCATACAGAACAGAGTATTGACTGAAGCAGAGTGCAGAATGCTTTATCTGCATCACTCAATACTCTGAGTTTTGTATTTTTGCCTGAAGCAAAGAGCATGTTTTATGAAAGTTAGAGCGCTGGTGCTTTATCTGGCTCCAGGTCAGGATCGAGCGAGGGATCTTTCACCAGCGAGCAGAAGAACACATCCAGAGTGACCAAAGAACGCTTTGAAATGTAAATTAACTGGAAAAAAGTCCTGAAATGATCTAATATTTAAGACTGGACAACTCAGAACACCATACATGCATGCATGCCTATTTATTATATAATAATAAAAATAAGAACAATCATCATCTTATCCACAACAGTAAAATAACAGTATTTTGTTATTAATAATTTTTGTTATTAATATTATTTTACATTATTATTGTTATAATAAATATTATACATTAGAAGTAGTAGTAGTAGTATTGAAAAATAATTATAAAAATATCTAAAAACTAATTTTATCCACAATTATTATTAATGTATGATAATAAATAATATCAACAATGAATGAATTTTTGATATCATTAATATTAACAGATAATTATAAATAATAATAATTATTATTATTAGTAGTAGTAGTAGTAGTAGTAGGTAAATACTATTACTAATAATAATAATAATAATAATTGTATCCACTAATAATAATAATTATTATAATTAACAAATAATAATATTTTACTACTGCAAATACTAATAGATATATTTTTTTGAAAAAAGGATTATTATTATTGTTATTATTAACCCTTGTGCATCCTTATGGACATTTTTGTCCTTTTCAGTTTTGTTTTTTTGATCACTTTGCCTGTGTTAAAGCTAACTGCAAAAAACTTGGCACAGGTGTGTATTTTTATTGGAATTTTACTATTTCACCGTCATTTTCAAAAAAAAATATTTTTTGCATTCGGTATAAAAAATACTCCCTCTCAGCACCTTTTGGACAAAAATGTCCCCATTGAAACCCATTAAAACTGCCATTTTTATCAGTTAACTATAAAATTATGCAATCTTTGTTAAGAGGCTTTCATTCTGATGGCAAGGCTTCAAAATTTTATTTTTTACTATTTTTTATCAGATGGTGTCATTTTTTTAAAGTTTGGCCTATAAAACAAATATAGCTTTATTCCTGCTTTCTGATATATAGAGCCAACTGGATAAATTATGCAACAATATTTGTGTGGGTGTGTTGGTATGGATGTCAGAATGTGGTTAGTATGCATGTTATAAAAAAAATATGTGTGTGTGTGCGCATGTGTGTGTTTGTAATACTGAGAGAGAAAAACTGCACATTTAAATCCAATCACTGTGAGCACCAGTGGGGTTTTGCTGCACCCAATGGGGAAAATATGTTACTACTCCCAAACAAACTGTTACAGAAAGCTCATTTTTTGAGATATCATCCTCAAATTTGGAACACAACCTATTTAGATTTATGGCTTTGATTTTATTGCAGTTTTGAGTTCAACCTGATTTAAAAAAAAATATATTTTATATAAAATATTTTTTATAAATAATTTTCATAAACTTATACCTATATAACTTTTTTTTGGATTCACTTATTATTATCACTTCAGCAATAATCTGCAAAGGGTCTTCTTTAAAATGATACCAAACTTAAGTCTGTGCTCCAAAGAGTCACATTTTTATGACAGTTTTTTGACATGGACATTTTTGTCCTCTTTTTACCTATGTGTAACTTTTTTTAATTGATGCACAAGGGTTAAAACTATTAGTAATAGTATTATTAGTAGTATGGAGAACTTAATAAAAACAAAAGTTCAAAGAATAGGAAACACAACTATGATGGTTTTCTAATCTAATCGCGTTTTAAAAGCAGTTTAGGACCCATTGTTAGAAATGAGGACTAAGTGTTCTCATTGATCCGCACCATTTCTGAATGGAGGGCTTTACTGAAGTAAGTCACGTTCTGATGTTATGAATAAAGCATCTGAAGCATCAGTAAATCTGGGATCTTCTCTAGTTTCTTACCATTGGCAAAGGTCTGACTGATGTAATAGGACACCTTCAGCACATTGGTTTTGTTTAGCTGCGGGTCTGCAGAGAACTGTGTGGCATTGACGAACTGGCTCTGTCTGGGGCTGCAGGTGAGCTCGCAGAACAGGGTCATGAAGTTGAAGAAACATGCTGGACACCTGGCACACAAAAACAGGGACAAGTTAAAGCTGTTATGAAGTGCATATTATATTGCTGCCATAAACTGGGAGACTCTCCCAATGTAAACTGTGTCAAGCAAGTACATGTTTGGTTTCAACTGAAAGTTAATCAATAACCTGCTTGACTCAATAATGGGTCACTGTTCTGTTTCTGATTCACAAAACTGCGCACTGTATATGTATCTTCATAGAGGTATTTCAGCCATACCTCGACAGGTACTGAAGGGGGATCTGGATATTGCTCTTCAGAGTCGTGAGCTGTTGCGTGTCACAGCAAACCTTGTTGTCCTCATAAACCAGCCCAGGACAGAGTTCCTGAGAAAAAAAAAATAAATAAATAAATAAATAAATAAATAAATATATATACAACTCTGATTAACGAGTTTCTGATTTGAAACTCTGATTAACGAACTAGTAAGTAATTGCGTACAGATGAAAGTGGTAGTTCACTATTAACTAATCAATAACTACTATAACTACTAATGCTTCCCAGAGAACTACTGAAAAAGTTAACAATCTAGTAACTACTCTTAACTAAAAAAAAAAAAAAAACGGGTAACGCTTCCTTTTACGGTACAGTACTTACAGTGTACTTGCCTAGAAAGTGCTGGCTAATATAAGGTAAGGGTTCAGGGTTAGTACTAGTTATTACCCAGTAATTGTAGTTACTAAAATAAGTACATAGTATTTACATGGGTAACTGGACTGTAAAAGGAAGCGTTACCAAAAAACTCTGATTAACAAATTAGTAAGTAATAGTGCACAGATGAAAGTGTTACTACATACTTCTATGGGAATTACTAATTATTTGAATCCATATTCTAAAGTGAAGATCATGGGAGCTAACTAGTAATGACTCAAGTGTTACTACATACTTCTAAAGAAATTTTCTAAAAATCTCAAACGCTTGCAATGACTTTAGTGTTTGGTTGCACAAGTCATGACTAGATCATGTAGTAACACTTGAGTCATTACTAGTTAGTTCCAATGATCTTCACTTTATAATACGAATCAAAATAATTAGTAATTCCCATAGAAGTATGAAGTACCACTTTCATCTGTTGTGCTATTACTTACTAATTCGTTAATCAGATTTTTTTTTAGGTTAAGAGTAGTTACTAGATTGTTAATAAACTTTTTCGGTAGTTCTCTGGGAAGCATTAAAAAAAAAATAGTAGTTATTGATTAGTTAATAGTGAACTACCACTTTCGTCTGTGCGCTATTACTTACTAGTTCGTTAATCAGAGTTTCTTGTTAATTAATAATAGTTACTAGATTGTTAATATTGTGTTACTCATTGGTTCTTGTGTAGTTATTCATTAACGAAGGAACCGTATTCTAAAGTGTTACCGAAATTCTTTTCATTTTGGGGTAAAACGTGACCAGTGTCTATTTTTGTAATATTTTACCATGAATCATTGCTTTTGATGACAATTCATTTAATGAATTGTATTCGATTCTTTGCTAAACCGTTTGCCCGGGAAAGAGAAGACAGAAGTCTTTACGATGGTCTAAAAAAACAGCTACTCTTTTTAGCAATGTTTACTGATGTTGTTGAAAAAATTAAACTTCTCATAGTGTGTTCATGTAAATGAACGCTAATAAGTACAGGAAATGCCAAGCGTGATAAAAAAATCATATTTTTTGAACATTGATTCAAACCTTGGTCTTCATTCACACACTGCCTACAGCATGCGTCACTGTGTGGTTTGACATGTGAGATATAGAATAGGAAGAACATTTAAAAAAAAAAAAAGAAAAAAGTCTCGTTAGGCCAGTCACGATAGTGAATTTTGTTCTGACAATAAATTGTCAAATAAATAATTGCAATGAAATATTTTATTGTCTGTTTTGCTCGTCACTTACAGTGCAAGCATAATACACTGATATATATATATATATATATACACACACACACACACACACACACACATAAGCAATGAAATAGGCTCATTTGATTTTCTTTAATGCTGTGAAAATAATATTTTAAGTTAAAATGCATCACTTTTGGTTCAGCTTGAAAATAGCCTAGTGTTTATTATGAAGTCAGACCGAGGTGGGGTTTTGTTTAAATATTTTTCTTTGAAAATGTTCAAAACATTTCTAGGATGTTTTACCTGTTGCTAGCATGTTTCTAATCAGGGCAAGGATTCGTCATCCCTTCTAAACACTACGACACATCATGAAGAGCAGTCCAACAGTTGTAAAGGTGAAGGTCCTCTCACCTGTAGCAGTTCCAGTCCTTCATCAGGTAAAGGTTTAGGAGGGCCTGTGTAATTGCAGTTTAACTTCTTGCCCTCTAGAGTGGAGTTTCCACATTCACCATACCAGATACAGTGCTGGCCATGCACCTGCAAACAAACGCAAGGAAACATTGGGAACAACAGTTTAGGAAGTACAACTCAGTCATACAAAGTATTTATTATTCTGATGTTTAAAGCTAAAAGTTCCTCAAAATCAGGTTTCTTGCTTCCCTTTTTAGTTGTATTGGTGGGGTTACATTTCACTTTATTTGGTGCAAAAAAAGAGAAAATCCATCATATAAACCCACGTCACTCATCGTGAAGGAGTCTCACAGAAACCAGATGTGTGCATTCCTCAGCTATTTCGTCAGTTCAGCAGTCATGTGACTAGAGTTCTGTACAACCGCGTCTCCTCCACCCAGTCTGAACTTACAATTGATGTAATCAAACTCACATATTGTACTACGACTTACTGATTTTAAGATCAACAACCTAATTTTTTTAATGGCAACTGATACAAAGCGTTACAAAGGTCAAGGGTCTGCATTTAGACTGAGGAACTGTCAAGCTTTTGTTGTGCTGAGCCTGAATGTGGAAACAAAAGAGCGTGACTTGACTGTGCATGTGACTAAGGGCCGGACCAACCCTTACGCAGGAAATTTAGACAGCCGAGTCATGTATTTTTCCTTGCTGGACGATACAAGGGAAACTTTATGACTCATGTATTGACATGAAACTCAGATAATTCACATGTGAAATCCTCTACAAAACAAAGATCTCCTAAAAAACCTAGCCAAGTCATCTGTTTATCTTTTCTTCAAAACGGTTCCAAACTTTTTAAAGTCGGTTACATAAAAAGATAATCATTCTAAGACTGATCACCTTGTCTGACTGTTAGTTGGTCAAACTAGTTCTTAAAGGGATACTCCACTTTTTATGGAAATATGCTCATTTTACCACTCCCCCAGAGTTAAACAGTCGAGTTTTACCATTTTCGAATCCATTCAGCCGATTTTCTGATATTTAGAAGAATATCAGTAAACAGACAGTTTCTGGTCTCATTGACTTCAATAGTATATTTTTTTTCCTACTATGGAAGTCCAGTGTTTCCCCTACAATGTATTCAGCAGCGGCGCAGCGCCGCCGCTGGATTTTCAGCGCCGCTGCAAAATCTTTTCATGATCAGCAATATCATGACATTCACTTCATTCACTTATACACCTAAAAACACAGACATGGCGACCGGCAGCGCTGCTAATGTGGCTCTGAATCCACTTGTTGACAAGAACGGAGGAAAGAGCCATATATGGAAATATTTTCGATTAGGCTAATGTCACGTTGCCATAAGGGCCGTTCGTTAATTTAAATAAGGCATACGCGCTCCACTCAGAATAGAAGTGACGCGGTGGCGGCGCGCTCGTTTATCCAATCGCGCCTCTGTTCAAGGTTGCATAGCAACGAGAGACTCCACGGGACAGCGAGCACTTGTGGAAAGGAGAAAGCGGTACGAACTGTTTCCATGAGCCGGACGAGGAAGTATCACCTACTGCTCATAGTCCTGATCTCTCTTCCGGCTTAATAATACCAGTCACAGCGCGAAATAAACATGAATGAGCATCTGAAAGTGTGTTAAAAGAGAGTACAACTTATCGAAATCCGTATCATGTCACATTGATTCGCTCAATCAGCGTTTCAACCGTGGAAAGACGTCAGTTAAACAGCTTGTAATCAATGTCATGTATCGTCATATTTACCTCAGAAAACCCACATCAACTCGTTAGTCAGCTAGAAAAATAACTCTAGAGAGGAGTATTTTGCTAAATATATACACCATATTACATATGCATTATAATCTTAATGTTCTTCAATATTTAATGCATATTTGAATAAATCTGGCAAGTTATGACAGTCACCATTTAAATGTTTATATAATCTTCTTATTATAAAAATAAATAATAGTGTAATTTAAGTGTTTGTATAGCTACAAAACAGTTCATTATTACCTTCATATTAGGCTAATGAATCCTAGCAGGCTACTACAACTAGACTCCCATAGTTTACAGAATTCGTTAAGAGATTTGATTTCCTTGAGAAAATTAGCCATTTATTGTAACTGTCTGATATCCAAAATAATTAATATTGAATCGAAATCGAAACGAATTGCAAGCTTATGAATCGAAATCGAATCGAATTGTGAAATTTGTGTCAATACCCAGCCCTACATTCTAATATGATGATATCTGCTCTTTTTTTAAAGATTCTTTTATTATTAAAAAATAACATCATGTAATAGTATTTCACAATATTAGGCTACTGTTTTTTCTGTATTTTTGATTAAATAAATGCAGGCTAGATGAGCATAAGGCTTCTTGCAAAAACATAAAATAGTATCACTGTCACTCACACAGATGAAAAACCCAGATGAAAAACCCAGAAAAATTAAGTGCTCACAAATTGGGTGTGGCCTTTGCCATTAAGAAAAAATGTTTAATAAATTGTAAATAATCTTTTTCTGGGTTGTGACGTTTCATTTTTCCCCTATCAATTTCTACATTTTAGTTTGAGTTTTAAAATGTACAGGTTATTTTTTATAGTATAACGACCTCTTAACTGTCAAAATATCATTAAAGCTACATTATGTATTTTTCTCCGCCGCTAGGGGTCGCTAACCTCTTACAATAACAAAGGCGTAGGTTTAGGACGCAGTGAATAAGCGTAATGATGGAACTTGTCATGCAGATGGATATAATGTGTATGGAAAATGTATTTATGGGTCAATGACGTGACGCTTGCTTTTTCTGTCCGACTGAACTTTTTACCAATTAATAAACATTAAAATTAATAAAATTATAACATGTATGTCTACCACCTTCCTTATACATATGCCCACTCTTATTTCTTTAAAAATAATTAGTTTATTGGCATTTTCTGCCACCTGAAGTGTGAAAACATCATGTGGGGCGACCGTCCGGCCTTGACTTCTGTTTGGACAACTGGTTTTAAATCAAACTAAAAGAATTTAAATATAATTCTTACCCTATTTGGCATAATTTTAAACTTGTTTTCCATTGATTGACAAAGTTATGAAACATTTGTACACACATTTCAATCATAATAAACAAACAAATCTTGTCCGAAGATGTTCATTATCTGAAATATCATCTGGGGCGACCATCAAGAAAATACAAATAAGGGACTTATATTCTGATAATCATCTCAAAGAGGATGTTGCATCAGCTATCCTCATGGTGAGGGTCCCACAGAGACAACTAGCAGGTGAGTTGTCACTCTCATTTTTACAAACAAATCCTCTTTAAAACTGCTGCAGTGTATACGTCACATTTTGATATCATGTGGGGCGACCAACCTAAAACTGTAAATTATAAGTTTTATACGCAAATCTTTATTTTTAAATTTGTAAATTGTAAATTTGTCAGTGATATGTGGTGAGAAGAAGCTAATTTGGGCTCTATAGCTAAGCATTAGCCTGTTATACTTGATTAAACTTGAAAATATCATCTGGGGCGACCAAGCATCATGTGGGGCGACCGCCACTGATTGCTTAAATGATAGAAAACACATATCATGTATTTGTAGTTTCTGTATGCAAATGTTTACATTCATTATATGCATTTAGTTGTTTTAAATAACTTTTTACATTTCACCACATATTTTTTCTAAATTTCAATAATTTCCCTCCTACTTCAGAGAGAACTAAGCTTACTTCTTTTTGATTATTATGTTTTTTATCAAAGAAATGTGTGAATATTAAGCATTTATTCTACTTTTTCCAATTCTTTTTCTAACTCTGTGTATGTTTAAATATACTTTTTTTTCTAGATGGCCCCACTAACAAGCAAAGAAAAGACTGCTCGCTACAGGCAGCGGAAAATGCTGTTCAATGTGTCTGCAGAATGCTGCTATGTTCAACTGTTAAATGAAAATAGTAATGAAAATGCAAACATTGTATGTTTAAGTGATTAATGAAATGAAAATGAAAAAGGAAAATGCTGTTCAATGTTATGTCCAAGCATTTAATGCATTAGTATTGAAAATTTTAATATGATGGTTTTGTGTCAAATGAAATAGTGAGGAAACTGTTAATGTTATGAAATGTGTCAAATGAAATGGATATGCTGATCCTTCATAAAATTTCATTAAATATGCTGATTCTTCATAAAATTCCATTAAATGTGTTTTAACTATCAAAATCATTGAATAGTCTTAATTGCCTGCTGTTTTTCATCATGTGGGGCGACCATTTGTCATGTGGGGTAACCAACTATATTCAATTCTGCAGTAAATTCAAAAAATAATGTCTGTCCATTTTGGTTGAAATATAATTCATTGGTATAACATCAATAAGTGGATACTATATCTACACATATTAAATCAGTTTTATGGATTATATGAGTAAAAAAAATATGTAATTGCTTTATGAGGGTGACACTGCCATTATAGATAAAAATGTATTTAACCGCACACCGCCCCGCCCACAGCCCCACCCCGCCCCACCCACCGCGGCTTGGTAACAACCTCCGGCACCTAACAGCACCGCTGCTAAAAAAATTTCTAGGGGAAACACTGAAGTCAATGAGACCAGAAACTGTCCGTTTACTGATATTCTTCTAAATATCAAAAAATCGACTGAATACATTCGAAAACAGTAAAATCCAACTGTTTAACTCTGGGGGGGTGGTGAAATGAGCCTATTTCCAAAAAAAGTGGAGTATCCCTTTAAGACACAGGCTTAGTGGATATGTTAATGCAACGGATGATACTTATCAGCGACTGATAGGAAACATGACAGACTGAACTGAATCTTCCTTCGCTGTTCTTCCTAGTCATACGACTAAAAGAAAAGCGTCATAACAGCCAAAATGAGAGACAAGCCCAAGTATTCTATTGTTCACAATTCCTAATAGCTCCAGGTCACTAATAAACTTCATTTAGAAGAGTGCATAAATAAACACATGGCAACAGACTGATTAGTCACATGACAATTAGACATTTTGAAATGAATGATATTGAAAATTTTGCTGAAATTTAGCAAGTGTTTTTGTCAGTAGGCAACAATAGGTTCTATGTTTGAATATTTTAGTGAATACTGTTGATATAATGTGAAAAAAGGACATCTATGCTATTAAAATTTCATTAGATTTTACTTCTACTGTGGCTGAAATTGGTTAAAACTACGATAATGTCAGCAAATGTCAATTCCATCAAAAAAAAAAAACCAACAACATTTTTTTAAACGTTTGGGATTTTTAGAAATGGCTACATACATTTAAAACGTTTTATACAAATATGGTTAAGATGGGAGCCAGGACAGCTCTAATTTTGAAAACATTTGTATTCAAATTAGATTATAATAATTAAAAAAATACACCGTAAAAGACATTGTTGGTTTAACTTAAAAAATTAAGTAACCTGGTTGCCTTAAAACTTTAAGTTGATTGAACTGGAAAAAGTGAGTTAATACAATGAAGGAGTTTGATTTAATCATAATAAGTTATCTGAACTAAATAAATTATTTAAGTTGATTTGACAAAAGAAAAAATGTAGTGATAAAAAATCTTGAAAATATATTTTTTACAGTGTATATATTTTTTTACTTTTTAAATATAAAAATTTAATTAAGAGTATAATACAAATCTGCATTGCCATTATTCATCAAATAATGTGACTGTAGTATTTTATGTACACACAGATCTCTTTTACACACAGATTAGAAAATGACGAAAGCCTGCGGCTGTTACAATATTGAGGATGTCTGATTGGTTATTCGCTGCCATTATAATTCATTAATTACCAGTAAATAATTTCAATATTTCATTTGCACAAGTATTACATAATACACACATCACTGTTTAACATAGCGAACGCTTGTTGTCTTTTTTTTTCCCCAAAAAGGGGGATGCAAGACAATATATTAATGGTCTTGTCATGGACTCCGACTCAAGTAAGCTGGTCTTGACTACAACAACAACATTGAAAATATGAGCAGAAAATCTATTTGAAACTATGCTATACTATCCAATCTTTCATTAATTCAAACTAGATAATAAATGACATTATTTTTTGGACATATTGTAAGAAAATTTAAGTAGTACGTGTTGCACAGATGAATACAAAATGATTCCTTGAAAGCCTAACTTGAATTTTGTTGAATTTGCAGTGTTGTGTACAGTAAGCGCGTTTCTGTCCAAGGTTAGAGGTTTTTTTTTTTTTTGGTCCACAGCTTATTTTAGCGCAGGTTTTTCAGTATTATTTTGACAGACCAAGGATATTTTTGGATAAGAAGTGAAAGTGTCAGAATGAAGAAGTTACACAAAGTGTAGGCTTTAACCCCTTAACTGTCACCTAAATTAACGGGCAACCTAAATTTACTTCACTCTATTACTATTAAATCCTAATCTAGTCATGACAAACTATATATCGTTGGAAAGGTCTAAGACTCCTAAATAGATATTTTAGCGCTGTTTTTTTTATTATTATTATATCACATATTTTAGTAGTTATCATAAATTAGGCATCATTTGAAAGTTTACGAACTCAGAATTCATCCTGTGAAAACCGTTTTGAAATTGGTCGTTGCGTTACCATAGAAACAGTATTTTTTTTTATTAGGCCCCTCCCCTTTTGGACATCACCTTTCATAATTTATTATCAAAACCTTTTCTAATCTTGACAAAATACATATTGTCAGAAAGGTCTGAGTCTCAGTGTTCCATATTTAGTGACAGAAGTGATATTTGGATAGAAATTTATTAATTTGTTATGGCAGAATGCATACAATTAAATTCAATGGAATTCAATGGCACCCGGTGGCTATTTTTGGTATAACGCCTACACAAAATCTCAATAGGATCTTTTTGTGATATCAACTTTAAATTTGGAACACAACTTGATTAGATATATAGCTTTCATTTTATAGTAAAAAATATTTTGTAAAATATTTATTTTATATTAAAATATATATATATATATATTGATAAAGTATGTTTACCCCCCTTAAAGTGCGTGATTAGCTGATCAATCTCTCCAAGAATTCATGATCACCTCACTCCCCATTAAAACTCATATGGAAACTCCTTACTTCTGTGTTTTTCAATCCGCAGCAGCCACATCAGAAGCAGAGGAAAATGTCATGTGTGTCTGTGCATTTATTGATTATGATATCGGTGCAGTTCTTCGACATAAATGCAGTTTTCATTATGTGATGGGAGAGAAATGCACAACGGTTTCTCATTCACTGTAAAAGGTTTTCACTGCGTTCATCCCTCATCACACGACTACAGGTGTTTTCTTGGTACCGGTATAAACTTTGTTAACAAAAATAGAGTGCTTCAGTTCACACACATGAAGACATCCTTTAGAAAACATTATTTTCAATTGCAAATGTCATTTTAGTTCTGATGTAGCATTAGCTTAGATTAACATAAATTAATGCAGAGAAATTATTAAAGATACTGTAAAAATGATTTGTTGGTTTAACATCAAAAAATGCAGCTAAAAATACGAGTTAATACAAAGAACGATTAATCAACAGAAAAGGTATGATAACAAATCATGAAAATTAGAGCCTGGGTTTTAATTTCACTTTGAATTGTAGAAGTGGCATATTGATAGATTAATGTGCAGTCATTATGAACAACAGATATATGGTCTAATACAGGGCTCATTGAACATATTGCCAATCTAGACAATTACACGAATATGAGGTTTGTGTATTCTATATGAATATTAATGAATATGATCAGTTTAGTAAAAAAAAAATACTCGCTTTGATTAGCTAGTGTTCCTACCAATGAAATCCTAAAATTAGAATTAGGAAATGGGACAAACAAATGAGCTCAACTAGGATCACTTGGTTACCAAACACTCGTGATGTTTGTCTCAGGTTACAGAGAAATTATATTCTGACTCACTGTCAACTAACATGAGTCAAAAAAAATCCATTAGAAAAAAAAAAAACATGCATTGAAAGTTGATTTAAATGTTTCAGATTTGTTGTGAAACATGAATTGTGCTAAACAAACACTGGCAGCACATGCTAGGGAATGCGACCTCTGAACCTACACGAGATAAGACCCGTTGTTTTCGACTACATCCTAACAAAACACACATGAAAAACAACAAGTTTCTTTGAAGGGAAAGCTAAATGAAAGTAATAGCACTTGAACTTGGGACTTAGACAGGTAATCCCCTTTCTGCATCTATTTCTAGTCGACGTGAAAGAGTGGTTGTATGTATCTCAAAACCTAGTGAGCTACATAACCCACCTGGACAGCATTTTCGTATATCACAGGATATATATAGCAAATCCTCAAGGCCAATGTTGCCTACACAGGTGGCTCACTAGGTTTTGGGACAATCAATCAGCTTAACATCTCTCTTCCCTTCCTTTAACAACACCATAACTGCGTTTCTAGACAACTAAACGCTGATCTTGCAGGTTATATCATCATGTGCTCTTGTGTAAATCTGAAATGACTGACATATGATTTTTGATGTCCATTAGCTTCGATTGGAGATGAAAAGAGGCCGTTTCGATCTTCTAACGACAAAAATACATTTCCTACAAGTTAAACCGGGGCTTTTGACTTCAACAACACACATCACTTCTTTCTGGGATTTGACCAGACGTGCTCTTCCAACTCTTGGAAACTGTCTGGCTAGTTGAAGTTTGTGCTAGGCTACAAAATACGTACACAAGTTACAGCCACGATAACATAAACAAACAGCGCGTCGACACACTTACCCACTGTGATAATAAAATTATGGCCCATAAAAGACAGAAAATCTGTTTTCCCCCCGGGAGAGTCATTGCTCCTCCGTCTCCAGAGCTCTTGTCCAGAGTGACTCTCATCTGCTGGGCTGAAGCTGAAGCTTTCTTATTTCCTTCCTGTTATCGTCTGACTGATGTGCGCGCTCACGCCACGCGGGCGGGGTTTAGTGTTGCTGCCCCCTGCCGGCCGAGAGCGTGTAACACAGCACAAAGGCTGGGAGCGTTCAGAGCCATGGCTCTGGGAGCGTTCATGTTTTGACGACGACGTGCCTTGTGAATATTCATTATTATGTGACGCTCGTCAAGTTGATTGGCTTAAAGGTAAACGCTCTGGTTACGACTGAACGCGTGATCTTGACCATATTAATATTCATGAGCCGGCGACAAATTGCAACTTTAATGACTGAAGTAACTTGCTAGCTGACTTTAGATTATTTTTTCATGTTCTTTTAGGTATCATAATAAATTGTGCTCTGCTTTCTGAGGTTACTTTTACTTTTTATTCATTTATTTCTCTTTTTCGTAATGGCAGTCAAACGGTCATATGATGAACTTGCTTCTTTCAAGTTCAACTCCGAGCAACAAAAAATTGTGTTCTCTTAAAGGGAAACTTCACCCAAAAATGAAAATTCAGTCATTGTGCTCTCCAAACCTGTATTTCTTATGTATTTCTATCTTGTGCTGAACACAAAATAATATAGTTTACATATTATAAAACTTAATTGGCCTTACTTAGCCTAAATGTACCACCCCATACCATGGAAATCAATTGCTACCGTCAACTGTTTGGTTACCGACATTCTTCAAAATATCTTCTTTTGTGTTCAGCAGAAGAAAAAATTCGTACATTTTTGGAACAACTTGAGGGTGAGTAAATGATGACAGAATTTTCATTCTTTGGTGAACTAAACCATTTAACTTGTTCACACATCTGTGATCATAAAAAGCAAGTGATTTGCATACTGTCCCTGTTTAGTTCAAGCATTACCTTATAAATGATTAGAATGAATGATTAAAACAGCTTTGATTGAATTAGCCCTGATTAAATGGCAAGTAAAACACATGATTGCAGCACAAGCACTTAACATGTACAGATCACCTATTATAAAAAGAAGTCTTTATTGAATTTACTTCTTATATAACAAAAGTCAAGAGGAAAAAGGACAAAGGACTTTGTCACCATATTTTGAGAGCAAATGCGAATGTTTTCAAAAGAATGATCAAAGCTAAAATGACAGTGACTTTAAGATATCCAACCATATTTCTTTGATTTGTGCAACGTCATAAAGATCATATGTTCTGACTGTGAGATATGCGATTCAACTAGTTAATATAAAGTCAAGCGAGGTACAGGAGGGTGAAACACATGGATGAACAAACAGAAATGGAATATATGAGTGACCCCATATGAGTGTTTTTTATGTCAATGGATAAAATACTCTATTAGATACAATAATGCAAATGTCAGCCTTATATTACAGTTCTGTACATGTACCAGTCATATGTTGGCCTTCGGAAGAGGCTGATTCTGTCCATACACAGATCATCGTCGTAGCCCTGTCCACACAGCCAACATTTCCAGCAAAACATAACAGTTAAATCTTAAATTTAACTCTATTTTGACTTTCATTCACAGCAGAGAGGCATTTAACCGCCTCTGAGTTCAGCTTACGTACAGTGTCCAACAGAAAGTATCTGCACACTTGAGTCACGATGCAATATCAAAACAATGGACATTTAAATAAATATAACGCAAAATACACATTTCAATCGGGTTTATTAGGTTTTTAAAATGTAAAGGAGTAGGTTTGTACGGAGGCGTATTGCATTCACTTGAAGAAAAAAAATCTACTCTGTTTTTCTGAATTAACGAGTTAATTTTTCATGAGAAAAAAATCTACTCTGTTTTTCTGAATTAACGAGTTAATTTTTCATGAGAAAAAAAAATATTTTGCTCTGTTTTTCTGAATTAATGATTTAATTTTTCATGGCTTTTTAATTTTTTTTGCTCTGTTTTTCTGAATTAACGAGTTAATTTTTCATGGAATTTCATGAAATTTAACAAGTTAATTCAGAAAAACAGAGCAAAAACTTTTTTTGTCATGAAAAATTAACTCATTAATTCAGAAAAACAGAGCAATTTTTTTTTTCTCATAAAAAAAATTAACTCATTAATTCAGAAAAACAGAGAAAAACTTTTGTTCTCATGAAAAATTAACTCATTAATTCAGAAAAACAGAGCCAAAAAAATTTTTCTCATGAAAAATTAACTCATTAATTCAGAAAAACAGAGCAATTTTTTTTTCTCATGAAAAATTAACTCATTAATTCAGAAAAACAGAGAAAAACTTTTTTTCTCATGAAAAATTAACTCATTAATTCAGAAAAACAGAGTCGATTTTTTTTTTCTTCAAGTGAATGCAATACGCCTCTGTAGGTTTGGGGCGGTAAGATTTTTAAAATTCTTTTAAAATAAGTCTGCATTTATTTCAAAATACAGTAAAAACAAAAATTGTGAAGTAGTATTGCAAATTAAAATGTACTGTTTTCTATCTGTATATATTTTAGTCTGTAGTTTATTCATGTGGTAAAAGCTGAATTTCATATGATCCTTCAGAAATCATTATAATATGCTGATTTGAAGCATAAGAAACATTTTAAATGTTAAAAACAGGTGTGCTACTTTATACAGTATATATATATATATATATATATATATATATATATATATTCTGCATTCTTTTCAGGTTTCTGAAGTTCAAAAGAACAGCATTTATCTGAAACAATGTAATATTCTTATCATTTTTAATGCATCCTTGCTGAATAGAAAAATGTATTTGTTTAATAAAAAATCTTACTGACCCAAAACCTTGTGCACAACAGTGTGTGTATGTGTGTGTTGTTCAAACAAAAAGTATTGGATACTTTCTGATGATCGAACGTAGTTCATGTTCAGTTTGTGTTTGCTTGGTTAGGTATTTTGTATCTATAATGCAATGAAATCCAGACATTTGTAAATGTGACTTAAGTGTCCAAACACTTTCTGGGACCACTGCCAAGTTTTATGATTACAGACACTTTTGAGCCCAGCAATTTGTTTGCTCATTAAAAACATTATCGACTAGACTGAAACCAGATCACTTAAAAGCAGTTTTAGCATGTGTTTCGACAAGCTTGTTCCGTGACATGCCGTTTCAGCACACCAGCATGTTTCTACTGGCATCCACAGATTCAAGTCCTGTTGTCGTTCATAGTCTCTTGTGATATTCGGAGGTTCAAATCCAGCTCAGAACCAAACAAGCGCGTTTAAAAGGTAGCTTTTCAAGGTTACGAACAGTCCTTGACTCGGCGATATGTTTGCCTGTGTATCCACTATAAATAGATGTCCTTCCATCTTTAATCCTAGCGAAAAGCGGCTCATTTTAACAGTTGCTCTTCTCCAGAAAGTGCTAGTGCACTTCCAGCCCCGTGTATTCTGCATTCTCCGCAGCCGGCAAGTGGCCGTTGGTGTGTGTTTTGAGCTCCAGCGGGCAGAAGTCCTGCTGGTAGTCTGGGTTGTTTATGCTGTTCTGGAGGTTGAAGCCCCGCATGCTGAAGAAGGGCTGGCTTGAGAGGAGCTGCGTGTGGGACGTGTTCAGATACTCGGGTGGGGCGGGAGCCGGGCTTTTAAAGCAGTTGAGGTACTCTTCCTCAGTTTCGTCCAGCGCTGATGAAGAGTGCGGAAGCGTGCGGTGGGGTCCTGGGTGTTGGTAAATTGGGTTGTTCATGTTGGACATCAGTGAGTCGTTCTGGTTTATGTATTCTGGCAAAGACGACAAAATGGGTTAAATAAACATTTTATTCTGTCAATTGTTTAGTTACATACCAAAATACCTTAAGGGTATTAGCATTTATTAAAGCAATGCTCACCCCAATGATTTCCCAAACCTATGGAGCTCCTTTAGGGACATTGGTGATGGGAAAGAATATGAGATGGGGGAAATTGTTTTCCTAGGCTTTTTGCATTTTCTCTTGCAAAATGTCAATGTAACTGTTGTTAATAAATGCAAAGTGGGAGCGCAAAACTTTTACAAATGAAGGCAACATTTTTCGGGGAATGCAAAACCTTTTTGAATACAACTCAAAGTTTCGCGGGGGAATGCAAAATTTTGCAAATGAACACAAAGTTTTTTGGGCAAGCGTAAAACTTTTACGAATTATTGAACTTTTGGGAACAAATGCAAAGTTTCCTAAACATTCAAATCCCATTCTGTCACTGTAGAGGCTCCATATAAACCTGTTTGACTTCCTTTCTTCCATGAAAAAAGGAGATATTTAAAAAACGTTTTGCTACCTAACTGTTTACAATGGAAAAATTGGAATACGCTGAGATTTAAAAGCTTTACTGGAGGTCATTATTGAAAAGAGCTGTTGCTCAAGCACAGACTTGGAATACAGCCCACGAATAGAGTGACCTACTATGTGAATTTCAGGTCCCACTTTATATTAAGTGCCTCCAAGTACTATGTACTTACATCGACAAATAATTACAATGTACTTATTGTGTTCAGGTTGAATTGTAAAACACTTTTCTTGCTATTGAGGAGTGATACGGGCAAGGTTCGGGACAGGTGTGGTGGCATGGGTAGGTTTAAGGGTTGGTTAAGGGGTAATGGAAGGGTCAACTATGTAATTACATACATTAATTACAGCTCTTATTACATGCAGGTATTTTCAAAATACAAGTACAATGTAAAAGCATATATGTACACAATAAGTACATTGTATCCAATTATTAATATCAATGTAAGTACATAGTACTTAAAGCCACTTAATATAAAGTGGGACCGAATTTCGGTCATTCTATAGGACAAAAGCAGTGTGAATATTCTGCTAAATATATCCTTTTGTGCTCCATAAAATAAAAAAGCATACAGCCTTTGACCTACATGAGGGTGAATACATTAAAGATTTTTCATTTTGGGGTGTACTGTTCCTTTAAGAGTACAAAATCAGAGTATCCCACAAGGATGTAAGACCAAGACTGACCAACAGAGGTGCTCATTTCACCATAAACTAAAACGTGTCTTTTTTTTAATATCTTTTTGGTCCTCATTCAGCATTTAATTTTAAGAAACTGAC